GCTGTAATTTATTGTTGTAAATATCTCGAATAATATTAAAAATTTTAAATTCAAAATTTGTACATTTATTTAACACCACTATCACTAAAATTTACCGAGTTTTGAGAAAAATCCGAGACATGACCCCGTATTCTCATAAGAAATGCCTCATATAAATATATAGTTTACAATGACTTCACGTGCTACAAAAACTAAATAATTTATTTCTTGGAAACTACAAGACATACTATCTTTTTCAAAGTTTTTTATTTTTCAGGACATTGTACAGAATATTCATGAATTTTATGAAAAATATCGAAGATATACTTTTCGAATTATTTAAACAATTAAAATTGTTTTTTTTAAATTAAACTTTTTCAGTTTTTTTTCAAAATTTTTTTTCATGAAAAAGCATATAAATACGAGTATTTTAAAAAAAATTCATTTCCATTGGTTAAAAATTACATCAGTTATAATAAATCAAAAAAAAATTACAAAAAATTTAAATGTGCAATATTTTGGAAAATATTTTGAATTTTTTAAAATACTTAGGATTTCATTTTTTGACCCTTAAAGGGACCCAAATTTTCAATATTATAAAAATTTATCAAAACAGCATAAATCGGTGCGATCACTTGACGTTGAGTAGCTCACTAGCGATTGATTAGGGAATTAATTAAAGTTAAATAAATATGATCATGAGATTTTTAGAATTTTTGTTACTAAAAGTAGTAACTTAATTTATACCATTTTCAGGTGCCAACAATTAAATTCATACTTTAAGAACATTCAATGTGTCTTATGTTTCTACCATAATTTAACTAAGTAGCGATTAATTAAAGAATTAATGAGGGTAAAATGAATATGATCATGAGATTTTTAGAATTTTGGTAATTAAAAGTAGTAGCCGAATATAAAAAATATATATAAGGCAACCATTAAATGCATACTTTGAGTACCATCAATGATTCTTTTGCTTCTATCAGATTTTAGTAACCATCGGTTGTTAATGTAATTAACAGGATGTAATGAGTAAGAATATAACGTATTAAGACAATTTGCTTTATAGAAAATGGTAGAAGTCTATAAACAATTTGCATTATTCAACGAGTAAATGCATACATTGGGTACCATCAATGTTTCTTTTGCTTCTATCAGAATTTTAGTAACTGTCTATTGATTAGCGAATTATTCATGGTAAAATAAATATGGTCAGAAGATTATAAGAATTTTTGTTACTTAAAGTAGTAGCCTAATATAAACAATTTACATAAGTCAACAATTAAATGTATACTTTGAGTACCATCAATGTTTCTTTTGCTTCTATTAAAATTTTAGTTACTAGCGTTTGTTAGCTAGCAGTCTATAAACAATTTGCATTAGATAACAAGTAAACGCATACTATGAGTACTATTAATGTTTATTTTGCTTCTACCACAATTTTATTAACTGGCGATTGATTAGGGTATTAAGGAGGGTAAAATAAATATGGACAGGAGATTATCAGAATTTTTGTAACTTAAAGTAGTAGTCGAATATAAATAATTTGCATTTGTCGAAAATTAAATGCATACTTTGAGTACAATTAATGTGTCTTAAATTTTTCTCAGAATTTAAGTAACCATCTATTGTTAATGTTATTAATACTATTTAATGAGTAAGAATATAAGGTAGTACAGGATAGTAATTGAACTCGTATTCCAAACTAAAACAATTTATTTACTATAAAAAGAAATTGTATCAAACAAAAATGATTACAATGGTTTCTTGGTGAACTTTGTCGAAATACTACCACATGTAGTCGAGTTCTCGTGCAGCTTCGTTTGCGCCACAACGAGGCGACGATCTAAACTAATATTAAATGGTACAAAATTTAAATTGAATACACGTACATCAGCCGCCCACCAATTAATCTTGATTAATTTAAAATTTCAATTTCGACTGGCAATTTGCACAATTTCACAATTGGACGCTTAAGAATACTATTAGCCGTTATAACAGTTACGACCCTAACCTTTCCGTCTGCACCGCGGTGCGATTTTACAATTTTTCCCAAACGAGGCGAGTTGGAGTCACAAATTAGAACAACGTCGTTGATTTTTAAATTCTCAGTATCACAGGTCCATTTTGTTCTCTGTTGCAATGAAGTGAAATATTCTTGTTTCTAGCAAATTCAAAAATCTTGGGTAATACGCTGGTTTACCTGCCACCGATTTAATTGATTCATGGGAACTTCTTGATGTCAGGATCAGGCAAGTTGGTGAGCGGTTCCCCGATTAGGAAATGAGCTGGCGTTAAAGGCTGTAAATCAAATAGCGTTGAAGGCAATGAATACAAAGGTCGTGAGTTTATGCAAGCTTCGATTTGCTCCAGAACGGTGCATAATTCCTCGAACGTGAGAAGAGTCAATCCGATCATTCGTTTCAAATTGAATTTACATGATTTCACTCCCGCCTCCCAAAGTCCTCCCATGTGTGGAGCTAAAGGTGGAATGAAACTCCAATCTATTTTCTGAACGCTGCAAAAGTCATTGATGGAATTATGAGACTCAGTTTCTAGCAACTGGTATAATTCCAGCAACTCATTATTTGCTCCCTGAAAATTCGTGGCATTGTGGCTAAACAATTACGTTGGACAACCACGTCTCCCTACGAAACGCCGAAGAGTGACAATAAATTATTCAGCTGTAAGGTCGCCAACAACCTCCAGATGAATGGCCTTGGTTGAAAAGCAATCAAACACGGCGATGTAGGACTTGTTGGTCTTCCTTCCTCGACCCTTGTTTACGAGTGTGGTTATAGGCCCAGCAAAGTCGACCCCTGAAACTGAAAATGCTCGCTGAGGCTTCACTCTATCTGGTGGTAAGTCACCCATGATTTGAGTAAGATGCTTAGGATTATTGCGAAAACAACGAGTGCACTTATTCACAGTTGATCGTGCAAAATTTTTCCCACGAATGGGCCAAAATTTTTCGCGAATTGAATAGAGCAGTGCATGAGGACCGGCATGCGCGAGTTGATGATGCTCTCTTTTAAACAACAGCTGGTTAACTCTGTTATTGCTTGGTAGGTCAATGGAGTGCTTTACATCATATTCTCACGGAAGAGTGGCTCAATCTGCCGCCCAACCTGATCAATCCTGAAACGTCAAGAAAAGGTTTTAAACACGATAATGGACTCTTAATATTGATTTTACCTTCGGACTTCAGATCCTGAATCTCCTTGCAAAAATGAATGTTCTAGATGTTCTTCAGAATGCACTGTCTCGATTGAGAAATTTCAGCAACTAAAAGCTCTGAAAAGGCTCGATTGGACGAATCTTTACGGAAGTTTGATATAAATCTCAGGCAATAGGCTATTACCCTTTCGATTTTAGTTAATGAAGAGAAATGATTAATGACTTTATCAAGATAGAGGATGGAATTTTGAAAGCAATGAGTTATTGTGGTTCTGATTTTAATTCTGATCGGATTATTTCAAGGTCTTGTACAGAAAGATTAAAGTTTGTGGGCATCATTGACAAATATTTAGAAGAGTCTGATATTATTGAATGTCCTGATCACCATAAGGAATTGTCTTTTAGCTTTTCGAAACTCGTACCTCGCGATACCAAATCGGCAGGATTATCCTCGCCTTTGATGTGATGCCAATGAGAGGCAGATATTGATGCAGTTATTTTCGTCACTCGATTTAAAACGAACGTTTTTTTGTTTGTTGATGTCTACTGAAATCCACGCAAGAACTATTGTTGAATCAGTCCAAGCGTTAAGTGAATGAATTTTAATCCGTAGAGTATTTTTTACCTTGGTCACCAATCTCACCAACAAGACTGCACCACAAATTTCGAAAGTCTTCACAGCACCAATATCGTCGACGATTTTGCGCGAAATCGTTGACTCACTGGACTCACTTAAAAAAGAAATTAATTCTTTTTTATTAGATCGCCATTTATGCAACTCTAATTTTCCATTAATTAACAAATTTTGGAGTTCATTGATCAACGACTTCGCCTCGGGTAAACTATCAACACCTGTCAGAATCCTTTCGAACATGAAGACAAGTCAAAGCAGAAGCAACTGACGAATTCATCGATCGATTTCCATTAGTTTTTGACGTAACTGGACCCGATACGATCCAACCTAGTTTTGTGTTCTGCAAGATAGGCAAATTCGTTCCAAGCTCAATTTTTCCTTCATCTAGCAACTAAACGAAAAACTCTCCGCCAAGAAGCATATTAATGTGACCAGGGTCAGAGAAAATTGGATCTGCTAATTTTACTGAATTTGAAACTGATAATGCTCTTGTATCGACAGGGGCACTAGGTAAATCTTTTGTTATTTTTGGGACCACAAGGCATTGAACATTTAATTGACAATTTGTAACACGAGAATTTAACGTTATTTCGCAACTATGAGTTATTTTGCATGACATGTTATTTAATCCCGAGATTGATTTACCAAATTCTAAAAGCTTTGTTCCTGTTTTATTGCATGCTGAGATAGTAATGTTTGCCTCACTTGCGCTGTCTAAAAGTACGCGTAATTGGTGGACGGAACCGTTTACGTGTTTTACATTGACGATTGCGGTAGACAATAAAATATACTTATCTATCCCTGAATTGACGATATGATGAACTGCTGGAATGTTCGCCTGGTTGACTTCATTGTTCACCGTGGGTTCCTTTGATAAATCCGTTTTTTTGACCGATATGTGACACAAGGTATTGTGCCGACCTCCACAATCACGGCAAGAGCTATATTTGCATGACTTCACGAAGTGATCGTTCGTCAAGCAATTCAAACAAAGTTTGAGTCGCTTGGCTTCAAGAATCCTTTTTTCGGCACTAAGGTTTAAAAATTCCTCGCACGAATAGATGAAATGTGGACCCTGGCACATGTAGCACCTTCCACCCGCTTGAGATGTTGAGACAAAAGCAACTGGTCTGTTGGCTTGATTTCCCTTGCGTATTTTTGATGATTCTGTCGAATTGTTGATTTTGACTTTGGAGTTTGACGCTGCGTCTTAAGTAATAAATCCACTGGATGATGCTCTTCTGTCCAACAGTTGACATCGTCGTTGAAGGAAATCTATCATTATATAAACAGACACTTCTTCCTTTCCCTCGAGAAATTCCTCCCAATGACGTCTTGTTAGTTTGTCAATTTTCTCTTCTATCATGTACAACAATAGATCGTCCCACTTGTCAGTTGGGAGTTTAATGCGTTTCAAAACTCTAAGATGTTTTTGTATGTTTTGTATGTGATCTATCAAGTTTTGAATCCCAGTAGATGATTCGACGTCAACCTGTGGTATCTCGAACAAGCATTGTATGTGACGTTTGCAAATAGTTTTGTCGTTGTCAAAACGATCGTTTAACAATTTCCAAGCGACTTCACAGTTTGTCACGGAAATCTCAATCGTTATTTTTGCTGCGGCTCCTGATAGGGCACTGATCAGATACTGGTGTTTTTGCACATTTGGCAATTCGCTCTCGTGAATTAATGTTCTGAAAGTGTCCGAGAATCGCTTCCAATTCTCAATCTTGCCGTCAAAATTAGGTAAGTTTATGACGGGCAATCTTACGTGAGAACTTGAATTTGAGGTTGAAAGTCTCTCATTGGTTGATTGATTTGAAATTTGTAGAAGAATCTCTGCTTGTTGTTGAAGCATCCGTTCTAACGCACTCGCACCAGTGTTGACGTTTTCACTTGTTGTTTGGCGTGGCTTTAACAACTCTTGCCATCGCATTAGCAAAACCTTCACTTCTGCATATTGAGATTCGAACTTGTCTTCTTCAGTTGCATCTTCGCTTAATAATTCATACTTATCATTGCACTCACGAATATGTTACATGAAATCTTGAAATTCTTGTCCAAATGCGTCGACTTTATCTAGCCGCAACAATATGTGTTCGTCCTCGGGTCGAATCTTTTTGGTCCTTACATCCTCGACAAAAGTAGACATACGTGTCAACCTTCTTATCACGTATCCTCTCCTGCCCCAAAGCTTATCGATATTCATTGTAAATGATATAAAATTGAAATGTACACAACACTTGAAACACTTTTGCAACGTTTAAATAAATAACACTCGATTGACTTTTACCCAATTGTTCCTTTTACACTGTTAACGAATAAAACAAAAGACAAAGATGGCCGCTAATCGACGATTGATGCGTTCATAAAATATACTTGAATTTCTAGACAAATTGGATTTTGCGCATCTCTTGTCAGATCCGGCTCGAAGGACAAATGTACAGGATAATAATTGAACTCGTATTCTAAACTAAAACAATTTATTTACTATAAAAAGAAATTATATCAAACAAAAATGATTACAGTGGTTTCTTGGTGAACTTTATCGAAATACTACCACACTTAGTCGAGTTCTCATGCAGCTTCGTTTGCGATACCACGAGGCGATGATCTACACTAATCTCAAATAGTACAAAATTCAAATTGAATACACGTACAGAGATATTCAGAAATTTTACTAATAGAAAGTGGTAGTAGTCTATAAACAATTTGCTTCAGTCTACAATTGAATGCATACTTTGAGTAACATCAATGTTTCTTTAGCTTCTAACAGAATTTTAGTAACTATCGATTGTAAAATTAAATAACAGTAAGAAATAAGAAAGATTATAAAGTATTTAGAAAATTTGATTTATGGAGAGTGGTATCAGTCTATAAACAATTTGCATTATTCAACAAGTAAATGCTTACTTTGAGTACCATTAATGTTTCTTTTGCTTTTATCAGAATTTTAGTAACTGTCTATTGATAAAGAAATTAAACAGACTAAAACGAATATGGTCAGAAGATTTTTTGAATATTTTTTACTGAAAGTAGTAACCGAATATAAACAATTTACATAAGTCAATAAATAAATGCAAACTTTGAGTACCATCAATGTTTCTTTTGCTTCTATCAGAATTTTAGAAACTAGCGATTGATTAGGGTTTTAAACAGGGTGAAATGAATTTAACGTATTAAGAAAATTTGTTTCATGGAAAGTGGTTGCAGTCTATAAACATTTTGCTTATTTAAGAAGTAAATGCATACTTTGGGTACCATCAATGTTTCTTTTGCTTCTATCAGAATTTTAGTAACTAGCGATTGATTAGGGAATTTAAAAGGGTAAAATGATTATGGTCAGAAGATTATTAGAATTTTTGTTACTAAAAGTAGTAGCTGAATATAAACAATTTATATAAGTCAACAATTAAATGCATACATTAGGTACCATCAATGTTTCTTTTGCTTCTGCCAAAATTTCAGTTACTAGCGATTTATTAGGGTATTAAACAGGGTGAAATGAATATGATAGGAAAATTATTAAAATTTCTGTTACTGAAAGTAGTAACCGAATATAAAGAATTTTTATAAGTCAACCATTATATGCATACTTTGAGTACCATCAATTTTT